AAAAAATATTTAGCTTGTTTAGCACAAACTGGTCCTGTTATTGTTGTTCCCTGTGCCCTTAGTTGATTAAACCAGGTCAGCATCGCTTTGTCGAGATCATCGTATGTTGATTTCTTCATGGTTTTTCTCTTCTTCATTCCGCTTGAATTAGAAGACGAAGCAAAGGAAATTAACTCATTCTTTTGTTTTTTCAAATCACGAACAGTTTGTTCTCCAATACCGTATTGCATTGCTAATTGTTTAACTACAGCTCCTTTTTCCAGCTGATTGATAATTTCAAGTTTCTGTTGAATACTTAACACAACACGCTTCCTTTTAAACCCCGACATTTTGCTAACGCACTTGAAGATCTATATTAAGAAACTGATACACTTACTTTCACAATGCACTCTCACACTGAGATGGTACCGTTAAATAACCTGGGGCGGTGTATTTGTCCTTGAAACTTTCCAAAAATTCTTGCATTCTTTCACCCCCACCCTAGAACATTGTGTTCGCATAACGGGACGAAATAATGCAGAGCTCGGTTCACACTAGTGCGAAAATAGTGTTAAACTCACCATGTGAAACAAAAGTGAATGAATATTAAACAACATATAAACTTAAAAAAAAAAGCCCCGGTTAAGCCGCAAACCGGTTAATCCGCCCCCGGATAATCGAGAGTTGACTGTATGTTAATTTCTCTTTAAAATTTCCATGATACCTCTGTTGTGAAACAGATCTTTCTGTAATCTGAGTAAATAGTTTACTGCTGACAAGCTGTCTATGAATATATATAAAACAGATATAAAATTTATAACAAATAAGTTACCACAATATTGATTTAATGACAAATATATAAAAAAAGTAAGGAATTAAAAAATTCCATGTTTAGCAATAGATAACAACTTCAATTTGAAAAATTACAATGATCAGTTGGTTCCGTAGTTAAGAGGATTGTGTTACGGAGTTTGTTCCGTGTTAAATATTAGCAACACTGACACACTCAAATCAGTATTTTTTGCCTATTTTCACACTATCATGAAGTACTGAATAGTTGTCTGAGGTAATTCATCTAGCAGCAAGAAGATATTGTACCATGTTTATCTACTGAAGACGCTGTTCGGATTGTTAATTGGTTTATTTAACAACCTACAAGTCGTAACTACAATTGATTATAACACTGTTGCGGGGTTTCACACTTTGTAACCCTGTTCGCAATAATCTGTTCACTATCTTCAGTAGTCTACACATATTCACATTACGGGAGCTATATAAGTGTCACTGTGTTACACACTCCCAATTACTTCTCAGTTATCACAAACTATCACTGATTATCACACACGCGTCCGGTTCTTCTTTCCGCGACGGCTGCTATATTCCAATTTAACTCTTAACGGCTCACTGCTGGCTAGCTTCCAACTCAACTCGTAGGCTGCTGCCTTGAGAACTCACTTAGGCGGCTGTGTAGTTCCCTTATATAGTCGCAATGTCTGCCTGTTACGTAATGGGTACCGCTGTTGCCTGACGCTGTGTTGACACAGGCATTGTATGCCTCATCACAGTAGGAAGCGGTACCACATAGCCTGGGGGGGGGGCTACGTCACTGTGGCCAGAGCTGCCACATCACTGCTGGGGGAGGGAGGGGTTGTCCTCCATTGCGCAACATGTCACACTGCTCACTCCTTAAGGCTGTTCGTCCTGAATAGCCTAACTGTGTACCCCCGTTCCTTTCCTCCAAAGGATGTCCTTGGTGGGTCTCCTGTTGTTTCGGCTAATCCTCGCAGCGACTATTATCCAGCTGTTACAATATTTACACTAGAAATGAAAATTGTTAGGTGTCAAACCTAGAAATTCATGTAGAGGTCAGTTCAAGAGCCAGTGATCTTACCTCTTCCATGTGAAGACATATTTTCATTAATGAAATTTATTGTAAATAACAAATAACACAGCTGTTCACAGAGCTAACTCAAGGAACAAGCACCATCCTCATGGACCATTTTCCAAATTTTTGTGTTTTCAGAAAAGCGTACACTATGCTGACATCAAAATTATCCACAGTCTACCCTCTAGTCTCAAAAGCCACAGTTTAAAGAAGCACTAAAAACTTACACACTCATTCTACACTGTTCATGAATTCCTGTTAACAAAAAAACACATAATCTTTTTAAAGTTTGTATAAACATTATGAGTGAACAGCACTGTTGTAGTATATGTGTGGATCTAATTGAAGCATTTGAATATCTTGTATAAACTCTCTGCTTATTTTTTATATGACAGCTTCATTTGTACTGTACATATAAGTTTTGTGTTTTTTGATATATTTCATTTCCTGCAGAAATTTCTGACAGACATCATATTCATGGAATGTAATATATTGTCGCACGTTATTGATTAGACATGGGATTTGGATTTTTAATTGAATATACATGTATGTTTCTGCTTTTCCTTGGATCATGCCTTGTTCCACCTGCTCCCAAATTTTGCCTTAGTTGCTTCAAGACCCCTTTGTTGCTCTGCTATCTTCCTTGATGACAGAAGACTGTGTGACTGTGTCTATGGGCTGCAAGGCCTGGTGGTGGTGGTTCCAGCTCTGCTGATGCTGAACGGCTCGTTGACAGGCACTGCCATTGGGCAAGGCATCAGTTACTTTATGACATCTCTTATTCAGGCCCTTCTGTTCATGACCCCCCACCCAAAGAGCTTTTTGGATGCAGACTTCTTTCAGACAATATGCATAATTAGGATACTTTCTCTTGTGTTCAGTATCTACCTCGCATGCAGTGTTCACATATCCTTTTCTTCTTTGTTCATGGATTTCCACGTAACACCAAGTCTTACACTGATGTCCTTATTACTTTCCATGGGTACTGCGTAGCCAGCGTTCTACACATTTATTAGCAAATGGCAGAAATGCATTTGGAGGTCATGGAATTTTTTAAATAGCCTTGCGCTTGCTTTGTGAAGGGGGACAAGATGAAAACATCTGCTGGTCTTGTTCTGCACTGTACAGCACCATTTGCTGCTCTTTGCGAGTTTGTTTCACATGTTCAGTGTTTGCATTATTACATACACTCAGCATGTCTAAATGTCCAGGGGAAATACACTAGGAGAAAAACGTCTTCCATCTGTTGTTGGTGGTGTTGGCCACAGCTGGATGAGTCGATGCAACAGGTGCGTTTATTACAGGCTGCTTTTGTGTTTGGTTCATGTGTTCCGTATTTGCATTATTACATACACTCAGTATGTCTAAATGTCCTGGGGAAATACGCTCGGAGAAAAACGTCTTCCATCGGTTGTCGGAGTTTATGCAACATCTGCATTTATTATGAGCATTGTAATTGGAGTGATGATAGCAAAATCACATTCCTCACTCATAATAATTGCCCTGTAGTCACAAGTGGCTCAGTCTTAACATGGACCTGAGATGAACTCCTTTTATAAAAATTTTAAATAATTTTTTTTTACCTTTTTGTGTGTGTTATTAATGCAGTAACTATATATTGTTTATCTTAGTAAGACAGTATTACTGCAGAAACAACTCGATTTCAAGTTCACGTAAGATCTGTTTCAGTTGTCTTTGATACAGTTAAATGAATCTGTTGGTTACTCTGTGGTTGCTAGATATCAGCTGCTATCAGTAGAGATTCCTTCGAAGTCACATTGCGACTGACGGCCAGTCAGTCAATAAGTCTTGGTATAGAGTTGTCATATTTATTACTGTTTGGCAGTTACTGTCTTGTTTTTTTTTGGGCGCCCTCTCTGATGATAGGATGGGTCTCTCTTCCGTATATGCTGTTGGCGCTTGCCAGCACAGTCCTCAAGTCTGAGTCCCTTGTGACTTTCCACCATATTTTGCTGTCTCAGGTTTGAGACTTCCCTTTTTGTCGCCTCCTACAACTCACAGGGTCACGGTTGAAAGTCACATTGCGACTGTCGGTCTGTCAGTAAGTTTTTTTGTTGAGCCCCATCTGGCGCTTATGACCAGATATTTATTACTGTTTGACAGTTACGGTCTTGTTTTTGTGGGGCGCCCTCTTTGAGGATGGGACAGGTCTTTCTTTTGTATATATGCTGTTGGACCTTGCCAGCATATCCTTTCTCGGGTCTGAGTCCCTTGGAACTTGAGACCATATTTTACTGTCTCAGATTTGAGACTTCCCTTTTCGTTGGCTCCTATGACTCGCAGGGTCACAGTGGAGGTATTTGACCCTGCCTCCACATTGTGTTGTAAACTTGTGTCCCAAGTCCAAGTCACATTGCGACTGACGGTCCGGCAGTCTGTCTGTCTTGGTGTCTAGCCCCAGCTGGGGCTCATGACCAAGTTTTTTTTTTCCTTGTATGAAAGTTACTGTCCTGTTTATTTGGGGCGCCCTCTCTGTCGAGAGGTCGGATCTGTCATTTGTCAGTCATAGTCTGTGATAGTAAGTCCATTGCCAGTCGCAAAGCAACTTTGACTTTGACAAGGAATCTTTTCCCCATATGTTGGTGGGGTCGAATACTTCCTCCGTGACCCTGCTTGTTGTAAGAGGCGACGAAAAGGGAAGTCTTATATCTGAGACAGTAAGACTCCTTGCCCTAGTTAAATAGCCTGGAAACGGGCCATGCAGAAAACGCCACCGCAAATGGTTCCTTTATTGCTGCTTGTGAATTCGGGCAACGGAAACGTGTTTACGGCGCTATTGCCTAGCAATGGCCGCCTCTTCAGGCTTCCGCTGTTCGGCTGTCATAGCATAACATGCGTGTATTTTAGAAAGAATAAACGTGAAGTTCTGGTAGTAAACCTGAAATATACGTAGGATAGCAAGTTGTGGATTGGATTACTGTGGTAAAATGAAGGTTTAGGGCATTGTATAATTATTAACTCGTTTATAATAGTGAGCAAAGCTGTTAGGAAGTCCAAAAAGGTCTGCAGGGTTATAGAACCCAGAACATTCTGCAAAGTCGTCCTGAATTACGTCGTTGGTCACGGATCTTCAACTAAAGGTGTCCAAATGTATATCGCATCAATCGATTATCCTATAATCTGTCGAACATCACTGGTCACGGATCTTCACAAAGAGTAATAAACGGTAAATCGTATCATTCGATTATCCTAGCAGCTGTCGCGATCTGTCGGTCGAAATCGATACTTTCGAAAATTGTGTAAGGAGAGGTCACATTTTGAATGCTTGTCGGCGGTAGATGTGATTTGTGGTATGAACGTTTTGCCACAATTTAAAATGACTGTTCTGATGGAATTAATGTTGGTCTGCTTTTCTTGGTCTTTTCCTGTTGGTAAATATGAAATTTTTAGTCGTTATTCGGAAGACTTGATTTGTAACACCTGTTGAAAGCTGTGAAAGGGTTCAGCAGTCAAAATATAATTTTTGTAACCGGTACTTAACATCCAAGAATTCCTCCTGTTCTGTTCTTGGTACATTACTTTTCATTATATATGTAAATGATATTCCGCATCTAACATAAGGTAGAACAATAATGAATGATGATGATACATCAGTACTGAATGTAGGAGAAAATATAAGGTTAACACCCAAAAACAACATCTGAAAATACAGGCTTACTAGAGCAACATTTAGAAACACTTTATTTACAAATCTGACCATAACACGCAACATTCACTTCAAGACGAAATAATGCAGGCAGAAAGGTAAGTTAAAGATCCTAATGAAGAATAGAGAAATACAGTAGAAAGTATGGATTTCTTGAGGTCATAATTAACACTAACCTAAGCTGGGAATCATGTATCAAAAATATCTATAGGAGAATTAGCTGTAACCTATTTATAATTAATAGGCTATCTAAAATATTTGGTATGAATGTAAGAAAGTTGTATTGTCTTCTGGGATGTGCCACTGTATAGATATTGTGTAAACCTTTTTTTTGGAGGAACGTATTGCCTCCATCTTCAGGGCATAAAAATCTAGAAGCAATGAACTAGCGTGAGCAGGTGGCTACAGACTAAGTCACCTAAGTTGTCCTGTAGCTGTCGAAGTCTTCTCTGCAGTAGGCTTTAGGGAAGAGAGTTGTCATGGGTACAAGGATTGGCCACTTGCTGTAATTATGAAGTAGAGTAGGAGATTTTGAAGGGTAAAGAATATCTGAACTTTGAATACTTTGTCATCTCCTCTGGAACTGGAATGCAAGTCTCATCTTGTCTCTCGGGATTGACCCACTTGAATATTAGGGAGGTCTACATGATGGTCCAGACAGGACAAAGAAAGCGAGCAATGCTAATTAAGGAATTTAATACACAGCATTGTTTTATCTTTTTCAGAGATGATGAAAAGTTTGGGTGTCGTGAGCGTTACGGTGGTCCAACCTCAGACTTCACAGTAAAGGAGGGCTACAAACAAAATGTTAAACTCGACTACATAGATGATGATGGACATGTACTTAATGCAAAGGAGGCTTTCAGGTTAGCACAGATAACAGCATATCTGTTTTTAAGATATGTCACACTGTGGAGGGTAGCCTGTCCAATGGTAGTACATTCTTTAGAGCAGAAAAAGTTTCCACAGTAATTGCCATTTTAAGAAAAAAATTCCAAGGAGGAAGAAGTTTTTCAATGAAAACAGACAAGATTATGGGAC